GAAGGATAGATTGCTACGTGAAAGTAATCTAAACTTTTCTAAAGCAATACAGTTGTGTAAAGCTACTGAAATTGGAGAACAACAAGTGAAAACATTTCAGAATTAACAGGAAATTTCTGGTATAAAGAAGAATAATATATCAAATCAGAATTAGCAAAGAGGATATGAGATGAAACAGTTTAAGAGTCTAAATAGAAAATCAACACAGAAAGGATCTTTGTATGCAAGGAACCAACACCAAGGAGTAACCGGAAAAAACCAGCAACATCAGCAAGATAACCAAAAAAGGTATGGCTGTGGGAAATGTGGAAGACAACATACAAGAGTAAACTGCCCTGCATATGATGCTGAATGCCATAATTGTGGAAAGAAACAACATTTTGCACTAAAATATAGAACAAAGAAATAATTTGTAAGAGCAGTAGATATACAGGGTGTTCGTTATGAAACACACTGTAGTAACATCGTTGCATTCCTTGTCAAATTCCAAAGAATACGTGTATTTTCATTTTTTATTTCATATATCAAAATTTCGAGATAATCAAGGTTGAAGTTGCAGTAATGCGACCAATCAGAACGTGTTTAAACGGAGCGTAGATGACGTCGCGAGCCAGCCCGCAAGGCCTGCTTACAGGAGGCCAATAACACTAAGATTATCGTCTCTTGTATTACATGTCTCAATTACATGCAGATAAACAGGGACACTACGACGATAATCTTAGTGTTATTGGCCTCCTGTAAGCAGGCCTTGCGGGCTGGCTCGCGACGTCATCTACGCTCCGTTTAAACACGTTCTGATTGGTCGCATTACTGCAACTTCAACCTTGATTATCTCGAAATTTTGATATATGAAATAAAAAATGAAAATACACGTATTCTTTGGAATTTGACAAGGAATGCAACGATGTTACTACAGTGTGTTTCATAACGAACACCCTGTATATATTCGTTAGAATTTGAAAAAGAATGTAACGGTGTTACTACAGTGCGTTTCATAACGAACACCCTGTAGACACAGATGATGAATGTGATGTAGATGAAGTATTTTTGGGCAGTGTACAGGTTAATTATATAAGTAAGAAGGAAATAATAGAAAGAATAAGATTCAAAGACTATAATAAGACAGCAATATTTAAGGTAAACACTGGAGCTCAATGCAATGTTATTACAAAAGAAATGTGTGGAATGCTGGGATTTGATAAAGTTAGAAAAAGTTGCTTACATTTAACTAGTTACAATGGAACACATTGCGACGATTATCTCGGTTGTCGACAAAACGGAACTCTACATCAACGGAAATCGGGAAGCGCAAGTGGTCTCGGCGATCTCGAAAAGGTTGTTGGGCGCCAGGTACCCTCCAAAGAGCACCACGAGCTCTAGGCTCGTTGTCAATTCAATAAAGATCGCGAGAGGTATTTGGTCCGGGGTAACCGATTGCCACAAAGCAAACTATACTGTTACGATTGCTAAATCCGGAAAATCAGGCAATCGGAAATGAGGTTTGTAATATAAAGGATGGTTCGTTGGTTCGGTCTACTTTAACAGCACGTCCACGTGTTAATACAAAGCCTAACGAATTTTATGATTTGGAGTTGTGATAATTTCTCAAGATGTGTCTTCGCGGATCAGGAAATATTCTATTTTTAAGTGATTCTTTAGTAGGTAAATCTTTTGGTAAACTTGAAAATTCTATGGGAATCAATTTCCACGGTATGTATTGAAAAGAATTGTCTTGTTCGTTAACTTGATATTTTGTCGTGTCAAGATTCTTTTGGCTCGTTGGTTTTGTTTGTTTTTGAATATATGGTTTATCAAGTTGTCTGAATATTATACATAATTGAACTTTTCTACCACTTCGTTTAGGCATGAGTCTGTACTTACTCAGATTTTGTATAACAAGTATATTTGGAATTCCCTCAGTATGCGATCGGATCTCAATTAGGTCGTTCGGCGTGGATCAGTCCTATCCAAGTCCTGATGATGTATGGAATGTTGATCGAAGTTTCGATTTATATTAATGATTTAATAGGATAAGGTAGAGGCCCTAGACTCGGCTTCAGTTCTATCCGGGAAGGTTACAAGTAATTGTGAATACTCTGATTTTGGTAACTTGGATAAGTTTAGAGGTACTTGGTATATTTTGACTTGACTCACGACTATATTTAGAACTTTAACACACTCGACAACTCTGACATTGCTCTCTTAATCTCTTTTCACGACACCACGAATGCGACTTCTGACTCCCTTTTTATAGCAGTAAAACTACTTCTGATTGGTCAATGTGACTCCACTTCTTCAAAATTCTTAATATATCGATTGATAGCTAACCCTTTTCCGATAATCAACATACCAAGTCGTACTCTGTATTTTGAATCTCCTTGAATGTTATCCGAGAAGATTCTGGCTTATCCGTTTATTTGTCATTGTTGAACATTAACAAAGTAAAATATAAAATTTAATATTGTTAGTCTAACGTTAATAATGTATTACATTAATTATTAAATTAAATAATGATTAAATGATTATAATGTGTAGAAGAATATAATGTGTGTTGCCATTGATAGTTATAAGGAGTGGAACGTAGCAATACCTAAAGGGTGCCACCAGGCGAACTAAATCTAAGGGCACCACGGCCACGCAAAAGATACTAACTTAACTAACCTAAAGGCACCACGGCCACTCAAGACAAATAGGGGACCACGGCCAAGAAAAAGAATAGAGAACGTAACTAAACCTAAAGGTTACCCGGAACTCAAAAGATAGTACTAAATTAGACCACTACACGTCCCATGGTACGCTGCTTCGGAGGCTAGCTCGTCGGAAGCGTCGCTGCATTCAAGAGGGAAGGAAGAAAAGAACTCAGCCAAGGACTTATAGGAACGTGATACGGAAAACTACAAGAAAATAATCTGAAATAAATAGTTAACGCACCAGAGCTGTATTAAGCAGAACAAAATTACAAATAATCCATGGACGCAATAGCAAAATTACAAAAGCATTAATTCAGGCATTACTGAGGGTGCGAGCGAAAGCCAAGCATAGGTTTACAAAAATCATACAATTAATTCACAATCCTCGGTATCTAAAATCGGAAGCTATACATTGCAAAAGAGAATAAGGATCACTAAATATAATTTAGAAAACTATAGACGCAGGCTGCTCATCGGCAAATCACGGCCGACGACGCTACGCGTGAGCGCGTACGCGAGTAAGACACGGGCCTGCGGGCTTGATACTTCTAGAAGACAATATCCACGGAAAATAATATGGTCGGAAGAATCGAATTTCTCGGACTAAACTAATAAATTCGTATTGCAATAAAATAACCAAATAGCGATACTGACAAAAATCGGAACTCAAGGAACGACAGCGGAACGATCTGCGCGGTTCCAATTCTCGCACGCGCGAAATTATAACCGCGGTCGACAACCGTAATACGAAAGAGTCACGCAAACAGAATTATAACTATGAAGGAATCCGACAAAGGATAATACACGCGGGTTCGCTAACACCAGCTTGAAAATCGCGGATACGAAAAGTAGCACAATAAATAGAAATATTACAATAAATTATTACAAGATATGGCATAGAAAAAATATCACAGTCAGAAAAAGATAGAATATTATAACAAGTATTTCATTATCGTTGCAGCGGAAAGACGTTCTCGGAACGGGTAGTACAATTTCGAAATCGGCTGAAGGCGCGACGTTGAGGAACATCAACAAGCAAGGTCGCCTCGGAGGGCGGCTAGCGCGCGACGCCGGAAGGACGTGTGCGACACGCAAAATTCACAAATGTTCCACCGAGAATATAAAGACGAAATTACAATATTGTTCGGCAACGATAATCAGATACAGTACATCTTCAATAAATCACAGAAATCAGAACGGAAGATATCGCATACAAAACTAGAAATATGAAATTTGGAATCACCCTTCAGCAAAGGCCACGAAAGATTAGCAAAAACAAGAAAAGAATTTTGTTTAACTTATTTCACTTGTTGTGCCGTAACGTCTCGGTGACGAAGGAGTTCGTTCGAGAGTTTCGGGCCAAGGTATTTTTGGGATCGTTGCCAGTTAAGAAGTTGGAACTCGCGTGAATACAACAAAACTGACAAGGTTTATTGAAATAATCAAGTGTGTTGTACAGTATTTTGACGTACGTCGACTTGGAAAAATATAGGCACCGTTCGGTCTTCCTATTTCCTGTACTGAGTCTACTCCACGAGACCACCTTATCCGTTCGGATTTGAACTGTAGACTGTCAGTTTTCGGACATGCAGCAATAAGCTGGAGTTCCAAAAAGTGATTATTGTGCGATTTTTCGATTTCCACATTTCGGTTGCCAGGCCACTTTTAGTTCTGACTTAGCGCAATGCTACACGCGTTAACTACTTGGCCTGGCGTTTCTCAATGGGGTCAGGAGACTCCCAGCACAACATGCGTCACATATCATGATGCCTGTCAGCGGATGAACTTGCTTGAAAACGACATCCATTGGGACTTGACACTTTCCGATGCAATTGTGTCTGGGTCAGCACACCAAATTCGTACATTGTTCGCCATCATCATTTCGACATGTTTTCCTTCCAATGTACGCGATTTGTGGAATAAGTACAAAGATGAAATGGCTGATGATATTCTGTACAGCACTCGCAGAACTACCGAAAATAACGGTTAACGATAGCAACGGTGGCTTTTACTTTCTGAATGCGTCTGGCGGAACTGGAAAAACATTCCTCATTTCGTTGCTATTAGCATCAATCTGTTCGAGATCCGAGATTGCCTTAGCGGTTGCTTCCTCCGGAATAGCTGCAACATTACTGGAAGGCGGTCGGACAGCGCATTCAGCATTGAAATTAGCTTTAAACCTCCAAACACATGAGGAACTAACTTGCAATATCTCAAAAAATTCAGCGATGGCACAAATATTGAAAAACTGCAAAATCATTATCTGGGACGATTGCACACAAATGTGCATTGGAGGTCCTCGATAGAACGATGAAAGACTTGCGCTGCAATACCAGACTCTTCGGTGGTGCGATGGTTCTGTTAGCCGGCGATTTTCGTCAAACACTTCCCGTCATTCCACGATCGACAGCTGCCGATGAACTGAACGCATGTCTGAAGGCGTCGCATTTGTGGCGATATGTGAAAAAGATTGAATTGACAACTAATATGCGATTCACGCTACAAAACGATCCATCAGCCGATGAATTCTCCAAACAGTTGTTTTCAATTGGTAACGGCCAAATAGCGCTTGATCTGTCGACTGGCCTCATTTCATTCCCGCCTAATTTTGGCCAATTCACATCGTCTAAGGAAGAGCTTATTACTAAAGTTTTCCCGAACGTCGCTCGCAATTACTTGAATCACGATTGACTGAGTGAGCGAGCAATTTTAGCTGCCAAGAACAAAGACATTGACGATGTCAATTTCATCATTCAGAGCATCATCGCTACCAATTTACATTCGTTCAAATCGATTGATTGCGTTACGAAGGAAGACGAAGCCACAAACTATCCAATTGAATTTTTAAATTCATTGGATCTGCCCGGTTTACCACCACACAACTTGCAACTGAAAGTTGGCTCAATCATCATTATGCTGCGCAATCTAAATCAACCGAAACTGTGCAATGGAACTAGATTCGCAGTGAAGCATCTGAAAAACAATGTCATTCAAGCGATGTTACTCAAAGGCAAGTTCAAAGGCGAGGAAGTACTCATCCCGAGAATTCCAATGATACCTACTGATTTGCCTTTTGAGTTCAAGCGCATCCAATTCCGCGTCCGAGTCACTTTCGCCATGACGATCAACAAAGCTCAAGGACAATCGTTGCGACTGTGTGGCCTCAATCTAGAATTTCCATGCTCTTCGCACGGACAATTGTACGTGGCATGTTCGGCGTGTCGGAAAGCCGTCTGCATTGTTTGTCTATGCACCGGACAACAAAACAAAAAACGTTGTACATCATATAGCGCTGCATTGACCTAAAATTTGGTAAACCAATTATAAATGCGACTAAAACTCTTTCGATTTCATTTCAATTTCTTTTTATTTGTAACGTTATTTCTAAAGAAAATGATAAAAAAATCGAATGCAAATTGTGCAATATGACGCCATCTGTTATTGATCGTGAGATATTGTACTGTAATGGATGCGGTGCTCTGATAATATTATGTACTAATATGAACGGATGCTGTGCTCTGATAATATTATGCACTAATACGAACGGACGCTGTGCTCTGACAGTGCTTTCAAGTCGAGAGGGGATACAACTTGCATCTGATTAATTTGAAATTCGATTGTTATATGTTATTTATTGTTTTAAAAAACATTTTCGTAAGAACGCCGCATTAAAACTAAAAAAAATGATCAAAAATTATTTTCGATTTCTGATTTAGATTACGCGAAAGATGCCTATAATGGAGGACATTATGACGCCGCGATTTTCTTTTATTTAAAAACAATGTATTTTAACACTTTAAAATTGTGATAAAATATTGTCAACGTTTGAAAATGATTGATCACCGTTCGTTTTTTCTAAAACGATCGAACTGCGATTCGATCGCAACGATTGATCGTCATCTGCGCATCGCTATGTCCCACAGTTGGGTATTAAATTAAATGTGTTTTCTGGGAAAATCTGTTTGCTAGAATACTTTTATTTAATTCTCTAATAATTAATATCAGACTGAGGGACAGCGAAGCATCTACCTCTTTTCCGTGTAGGGAGCCACAGCGAAGCGTGGCTGGGTCGCTAGTTTCATATAAAACTGGTGTTTCTGAGTGTTTGATTGGTCTTCTTGTGCCCACCTCCAGCCAGATAGACGAATACGTCCAACAGGTTATGGGCTCAGCCCACGCTTCGCTGGGTTTTGTCTTTTTCGGCACGAGGTTTCCGAATTATTTTTTTTGGGAGGTCATAGAAGGTCCAGAGTAAAAGCTTAACATAAAATATCATAGTTAATTCAGAGAGATGGACGGTGAAGATAACACCAAAAACGTCACCACAGAGAGAATGTTCAGAGACAAGAGTTTCAGAAAGTTCATCAGAGTCAACACCACCAGAGCAGAGCAATATGCAAACGGTGAATGTCTCACCGGTGCTATAAAAGATAACACCGAGGCAGTCAACAAGATGAGTGAACAACAAGAGAAAATGACAGAGCTGTTGACAATGGTGGCAAGTGATTTACAAAAGAGGGGAGACGAACAGCTGCGTCTAACCAGGACTTGCTTGGCAGAAACGAAAACTCTTTTAGAGCAATTAAAAGAGATAAACATTCAGAGAACGGTAAATTCTTTATCTAGCTGTACCTTGTAACGTGGCATAAGGCGCCCGGCTTGGGTGCGCCACGTTACATTAAGGGATACAACCCGCGGGTCCGCGTCTAAGGGTCGCGCGATCGGGGTGGGAGGGGGTTCAGCTGCGGTGGCGGCGGGGCGGATCGGAAGGCGAGGCACGAGGGCCGATACCCTACGCTGAGGATGCCATCGACCGCCCGCTTCCCGCTAACCGTCCGCTGGACACCTGATCGTCCCGACGAGCGGCCCGGACGGCAAGGTACCGCGGGAAGGGGGTATTTTTGTTTTGGTCCACCCGCTGGACGAGGGAAGAGGAGGGGGGCCAGGAATTCCCGTCAGGCGGGAATTCCTTCGGCTAAATTCGGCAAACCGACAACAATGAAGATCGGCAATCTTCGGATTTGCCGAATTCAATCTCTTTCCGGTAATCGACCGTGTAACACGTGGTGTGACTGTGCGGACGATTTCTGTGGGTATTGTTTCTTTTCGGTATACGACTCGGCTATTATTGTGGACTTCTGGTGGACGACGCGGCTTGTGACTTGGACTCGATTTGGTTTTGTGCAAAAGAGTGGAGTGAGGACGGAAGGGCGAAAGGGTCGCCAGCCGGAAAGGAGGACCTCTCACCCCTTTGGATTACAGTGGTTCGTGGTTGTAGAGAGGAGGAACAAGCCGCTACACCGGTAAGTACCGCCGAGAGCGGCCCTTCTTTTTACACGGAGTCCCCTCGGAGAAGGGCCGGGATACCCACACTCACGGGTCCTGGGCGGAGATCGGTGGTCAAGGCGTTCGGGACGCTGACCTGCAGGGATCTCCGCGAGGAAAGAGGTTCGCCCACCGAGCTTACAGTGATCGCGACCGCGTGATAGGGAGACGCGCCTCGTGATAGGGCAAGCTAGGGACGGTGGGGAACGGTTAACCCTGCGGCCCTTACGAAGGGCCGCGCTCGCCGTCAGAAGTTACGTTACACGCGGATCTGTACGAGATCTATTTCTTTCCTTTGCTCAGAATAAACGGCTATTAAAACTCTGACCGGCATTTTTCATTGGCGCTTTATTGAGACAATTCAGAGTACAATTCAGAGATGTCAAATCAAATGAATACAATAATAGAAAAACTTAATAGAGTATTAGAAACAAATAATGGTAAAATTCATATTAAAAGAAACTTTACCCTAAATAATAAAACTGATCTAGATGTATGGTAGATCAGTGAAATTCAGAGTTTTCAGAGTATGAATTAACAGAGTACTTAGACTATCCAGAGAAATTCGAAGATGACTCGTCAGAGAAAACAATCAAAATGAAAACTAAAGTCAGAAGTATTATATTGAGTCACGTCGATACATATTATTATAAAAAATTGTTACAGGTTGAAGACCCAAACGAAATTTTAAATAAAATCAGAGAAATAAGATGTATAGAAACTAATACGACGCATATAACCGTGAGACAAAAATTGTACAAAATTAAAAAGGGCAACAATGAGAAAGTATCAGATTTTTGTGATCGGTTTAATGACATACTTAAAGAGTATGACACCTGTAATACAAAAATAATTTTATCAGAGGAAGAAGTCAGAGCGGTCTTTTATAATGCAGTGTGTGACACTAGCCCAGAGCTAAGATCCACATTTTTGGTGAAAAACCAAACAGGGTCAGAGATGACGAAAGAGGATATGATAAAGTGTTTGCTACAGGTGGAAGCACAAAAGCAATCACATCCAGAGGTCAGAGCAAATCTAACACAGAGTCGCACGAGCAATCAGAGTTTCCAGAATGCCCAGAGCCGCCAGAGTACTCAGGGCAATCGGGGTGCCAAGGACCAGTCCGGCAAGTGTCACCGATGCAACAAGTTTACAGGACACTGGGCTTTCGAGTACAATTCGTGGTTTTGCTACGTTTGTAACGAGGTGAGGGGGCACAAGGGAGACCAGTGCCCCAACAAAGTTCAGAAGTATGAAAATCAGAATAATCTCAATAATAATAGAGGTAGAGGCAAAGGTAGGGGTTCATTCAGTGGCAAACAGAATCACAGGGGTAAGAATAACCGAAATACCCCATATGACAAAAGCAAGAGACAGAGCAACAGCGAAAATCAAGCAAAAGCAAATTTAGCAGGTAAGAGTTCAGAACTGAATAATACAGATAAAAATATCAGTTTTATAGCCGACTCCGGTGCTACAGAACACTTGACAAATAAAGGGTTTTTACTCAAGGATTTTGCTAAGAGCGCGGAGGGAGAGATTAAAACTGCTAATAAAAGTAAGAAAGCAAATATTAAAATTTATGGGAAAAGTAATTTATATTTAAATAATTCAGAGAATAAAAGTATAAAGTTATCAAATGTCATAGCAGCCCACAATATTTCAGACAGTTTGCTCTCTCTTAGAAAATTTGCTGATGCAGGGTATCAAGAGACTCGGCCGAGTCTCGCGCCAAGAACAGGCAACCGGCTGTACAGGGCACAGCTCGCAGAGACTCTTTACTTGAGTCAACTCTTATACCTGTGTTTGGAACGAAATATCTTATTAACCGCTATGCATGAGAAAAAGTTATTGATACATTCACTACAGGAATTGAGGGTTCTGAATTGATTGCCACCACGTTCAATAGGATTAGTGTACGACAACAGGGCGTATTGAGATGGCGAGCGAGATGATTTTATTTCAGTTCCGTCGTCGTCGTCATCGTCGTCTTCGCACGTCCATCTACTTTTTTACACGACAGATGGCGCTAACTGCTTTGCCTTCTTTACCTATTTGTACACTGAGCGACATTAATGGTGCCCCAGAGGAAGTTAGGGGAACAGTGGCAAAGCGTGAGTGGAGGCGGCCAGCAGCCTAGAAGCAAGCCAGGCCGCAGCATAGTGGGGGTAGCCTTTTCTCCTCGCTCGGGACGCCATTTATGTCACAAGTTGGAAAAGTCCCGTATAAGAACGTCTCTCTCACTTCTAGCGTCGGTTTTCTATACGACCCTCTCCCTCGTTAGTGGTGGCGCAGCAAGTTCCTGTAGCGCGTATAAGAATGTCTCGTTACAACCAAACTCGTTGTTAGAAATAACAACGAGTATTGATTCCTCCGATTAAATGATGTTAATGGTACATAGAAGAAAACATTTTTTCCATCTCATTTCAAAAGTATTAGAAAAACCAATCTATATATTCTATATTTCAGTTTAATTGGAAAACGAATCCATCGCTATCATTATTATCCTCTCAACGATCGAAATGTACCCATATTATAAAATTTTTATGTAATGAATATATAAAATTAGTATTTTTTAAGTAATATTTTATATTTCTACTAAATTAAGCAAACATAAGTGGCCTGTTCCAGCACCACTTCCTATAGTAAACCTTTTGCATATAAATAACGTTACAGTTGTATTATACTATCATTCCAAGAGTAATAATCAACGAAAAAGGTGCGTGCGAGGTAACCTCAAATGGGGCAATCATAGAGAGCAGAACGCGATCGGGCTACAAGAGAAAGAGAGCAGTTTCGAAGAGATCGGTATCATGAGTGGCTGCGTAGTTCAGATCTCCCTGATTCTGAAACGCGTCGTCGCATCACGTTCGCAAACAATAATTCATTCGAAAACTCAGCAATACATGAAAATCCTACTAGATCGGATTAGGGTAACACTGCGAGAGGTTCTTCAGGAAACTCATCCTCCGGTGAACGTCAGCCTGAGAATTCAAGGACAGGAGAGAATCAAACGA